TGCCCAGGCGGGTCTCGAACCCGCGGGCTCAGGCAATCCACTCACCTCAGCCTCCCAAAGGTGTGGGATTACAGGCTGAGCCACCGAGCCTGGCTCTGCATTTCTAAGCAGTCCATCTCCTGTAAGGACAGATGAGTGCTTTGTCCCACATTTCACTGCAGAGCCAGTAGTCCCCTATGATTAACTTCCTTTCTTGTGTAATTTTAAAAATTTTCCTAGAGTTTTTTGCCCCAGTCTGGCCCCAGTCTGCCGTCCACACAGCACAACTGTTTCCAAAATCTCCTTCCTAGTTGATGATCTGCCAGGGCTCTTTTCCCTGCAGCCCAGACTCCCTAGTCCTCTGCCTTCTGCTCCCGTCTTGCTGACCTTCTCTGGGCTTGTGGCCCTGTGGCTACCCAGGGACTTTGGGAGACAGCCCTCCGCTCTCCTGAGCAGGAGTCTGTGTTTTCTAGATCACAAGTCTTTTTCTGTCTTGGGCCTACTCCCTTTTTTTTTTTAACACATCCCTAGGAAAATGATTTTTAACTCATTATTGTTCAGCTTGTCAAAACACTTCCTTCCTGGAGGTATTACTCCTTTTCTTTACTGAAGTGTTAAAGCAGCCAAGGGTAGCACCATCATCCCATGTTGTAGGCGGGGGTGGGGGTGGGGGGGATGGTGAAGGGGTGGTGGTGGGGGTGTCTGAGGCAACCAAAAAAGTGGCTGCTGAATCCTAGTGTTGGGAGAAAGGCCAGAGCAGGAAGTAAGGGAGGAGGTTGACCCGCGTGCTCTCGCCTGCTGACTGAATGCCAACTCTCCTTCCCACTGACTTCCCAGAGAAAACCAATGCCTCTTGTGGGGGCAGATTCGAGATGTGTTCCTTGGTCTGAGAACAAATGAGATGAGGAAGAACGGAAAAAGGAAAACGAAAACACGTTCCTTCTTAGCACAGTGTGGCCTGGGAGATCAGCTCATGAGTGTCAGTTTAGCTGCCGACTCGGACCCGTGGCCTGGGACTGTTAGAGTCCATGTTGAGAGGGATCGTGGGTCACGTTAGAGCTCAGCATGGAAGGAGACCATGACTGATCCAGGGATAACTGCCCCAGTCATGGCACTAGGAGTGTTTGTCAACCCTGCAGTGGGAATTTTTATATCAATACATGGAGATGAGCTGAAAGAACAGGGGTTTGCAAACCATCCAGATCTAGAAAAGGGATTTCACAAAGCAGACATTTGTTGCCTACAATGACCCAGGTACTTGGAACAAAGCAGACATGGACCCTTGCTTTTGGTTTTGAAAGATCAGCTCTGGATCTGGAGTTGGCAGACTGGGGTAGCAATTTGAGCTGGGCTCAGCTGGCCTGTTCTGCTAGTCAGGACCAGACTAAGCTCATCCAGACAGGGCTTGGCTTGCTCATTTGCCTGTGGTCAGCTGCCAAGTTCACTGGGGCTAGCTGGTCTAGCTAGGGTGGCTCATGTGGTGCATCTCAGCTCTGCTCCACGAGGCGTCACATCCTCCAGGAGGCTAGCCAGCGCTTTGCACATGGTAGTCATGTGGTAGGGTGCCAAGCCTGAGCACAAGTGCACAGGATTCTCAAGACCCAGCCTTGGGACTGGTACATGGTTTCCACTGCTTCCTGTTGGCCAAAGCAAGTCATAAGCCACCCCACCCCCCCAGGTACACAGGTGGGAAAACAGACTTCCCTCTTGATGGGAATGTGGCAGAGTCCCCTTGCAAATGGTGTTGGCATGGAGAGGAGGAAGCACTGTGGCCAGTCTTGCAAACCCTCCATCTTAATGACCCAGAGACTTGCTTCCCTCAGGCATCTGTGTTTAGACCAATGGGTGGAGTCAGGCAGGGCAGTGACAGGGAGGCCCTCCTAGCATCTTCTGCCTTCATTGGCAGCCTCCACTTCTCCCTGGCACATTCAGGAATGGGACCCGCATCCTGTCAAGGGCAGCCATGATTGCAGAGAAGAATGGAGGCCTCCACTGGGGCATTTCTGCCTGGAGGCATTGGGCAGTGAGTGTCGAAGGTGTGAACTGCACTGTGGACCGGTGAGGAAGGGGACGTGGCCTGCCAGCTCAGTGGTTTCTTGGCCTGGAGTCTTTCAACCAGGAACTGGTGTCCTTTCAGGGTCTGCTTAGCCCTGGATGGTTCTAATTGACACCCAACCTGATTCAGGGCAGCTCAAGCCTGATGCTTATGAAGTTGCCCCTCGCCTTTTGGGCACCAGCTCTCCTTCCACATGGCCACCCAGACCTGCGTCCCAGCCAGCTGCCCCAGGAGGAATGCCCATTGTTCAGGCATGACTATTGACAGAAGCCTGGATGTACTGGCCACTCTCCTGATCCATAGGGGTGTCCAGCTTCTGCCAACCTTCCCAAGACTTGTGCAGCCCCTGAGCCCCAGGGACAATGGGACAGACTCCCTGGGCAGGTAGAACTTTCTACATCCTTTCAAGCCTCCTTTCATGGCATTTTATGCTTCTCAGTAACTTCCAGGAACCTAAAATAAGGACATGGCACATATTTTTGTAAAGAAAAAATAAACGCCCATTATTTGGCAGGACTCAAACCCATAATAAATAAACATTTGTATCTCAAGGACAGAATAATCCCCCGCCCCCCCCAATAGGAAAATGTGTGCCTTTCTGGTGGTTTGGGCACCAGGATCACCCAAGGGAGGCAGGCTTGGTGGAAAGGGAGGCCTGAGGAACTCAGCCTGGGGCTGGGCCTCCAGCGTTAAGATTGAGACATGACAGTTGGTCACATCAAAGACTGCGAGGGAACTGGGAAGACCCAAGCCATCCTTAGCCCCACTCTTGCCATTTGATTGGCCACTGACTCAGATATTTCCCCCTCTTTGGGAGATTCAGTTGCTTCCAGACCTTAGCCAGAGGGGGAGGCACTGTGACCCCTGAGTTTTCCCATCTCTGAAGGAAGGGTTAGGGTCAGAGAGCAAGACTGGCAACTGGGCAGTTGCCCGAGGAGCCTCACCTGCCCTCTGGGAGCAGAGAGCATCATATGATTCTCAGGCTGACTTGAGGAAGGGGAAAGGGCCCCTGAGCTCCAGGACAGGGCAGTCTGCAGTAGCAGAAGAAAAAAGAAATCCCTTCCAGAGAAGCATCAGATCAGTCATTCACACTGAAGTGTAAAAACATGCAAATATGTTGGTATCACCTGAAGTGGTCAGTATCACCTGGGGGCTCCTGCAATTTAGGCCTTTTTTCTGATTGCATGACAGTGGGAGTCTAACAAGTAAGAGGATGTATTCATCCCACAACTATGTCCTGAGAGCCTAGCATGCTGTCAGGACAGGTGCTGTTCTGAGAGGGGAGGCAGCAGGGCCTGGGGCAGCGTAGAAGTTGGTGAAGATTAGATTCTGCTCCACATCCTGACTCAGGGTGAGCAATCTGGGGCAAGTTTCTGCCCCTTGAGAATCAGTTTCCTCCTCTGAACAATGGAGATAATAGACGCTCCCATTTCATGGGGTTGTAGCAGGAGCAAATGAATAACATTCAAATAACAAGCCCATAACAAATGCTTGTTATGTATTAGGGGAGAGAAAGATAGGGCCAACACAGTCTCCACTGCCAAGGAGCTCACCAAGCAGGGAGAGAAAAACCAGTTAAACCAGAAAAGTATCAGGGGGCCAAGGGCTGAAGTGGTGTGGTGTTTGGAGGGTGGCCAAGAGGCTACTCTGTGTTAAGGGAGCAAGTAAGGGCTCTCTGAGGTGGAGACATCACAGTAAAAACGGAAAGACAGATGCCTGACTCTAGAGGACCAGGCACAGATTCTCTGGGCAGAGGAACCAGCAAGTGCAAAAGCCCTGAGGTAGAAACAAGCTTGTAGAGGTGTGCGGAGAGAGGGCTTGGATCTTGCAGGCAGCATAGGCAAGCAGGAAAAGGAGGGATAACGTGATTGCCAGATGCTTGGGCATGGCGTGAGGATTCTGAAACCTTGGAGTCCTTTTTCTTGGACTGACCAACCTGGATGGTGGTAAAAGCTAAATAAAAAGTGAGGTGGGTTTTCAGATTCTTCCCCACTCTTTAGGGGAAAATCCCAAGAGTGCTGCGTGGATTGGTGATGGTGTGACTGAGGTTATCCTGTCCTGAGATCACGGCACTCCCATCCCATCTCTTCTCCCTGCATCCTCACTTTCTTTCCTGCAATCTGTGTTTCCCCGAGACAGAAGTCAGAAGCCAGGTATGCCACATCCCTGCTTCAACCTCACCAATATCCCCATCAGGGAGCAGACAGAACACATTCCTTTTCTTACTGCTGCCTCCTGTGATTCCTTTTTACTTCCCAACTTTCTTTCTCCTTCTTTATTTATACTGGGTGAAATTCCAAAAGGAAATGAGCACTACACACTGCCACTTAAATACTTAAGGTCCTTAAGTTGTGAGATGCGAGGGGAAGGCTCATATACCGGGCTTGTGTGCCCGGTAGGGCCTTGCACTGCGGGATGTCCTGTGTGTGGAAACAGCTCCCTGCCTGACCTGGGCACCGGGGTAATCAGTTGCTGAAGTGTTGCTGAAGGTAACACTGATGCTGTTAAAAGCACAGCCAAGTCTGCAGGTGAATGGGCACCTGGATAAAGGTTAGCGGGGCAGCAAGCAGGGGAAAGGGGAAGGTAGGTTTGGGTGGTAAGAGATTGTCTTGGGCTCACACTTGCTTCATTCCTTCACTCCCCATTCATTCATTCATTCGTTCATTTTTTGTTCAAACAAGCATCTAGCACCTAATCAGATCCTATACTCATTGATGAAGATTCCAAGTTGTCTAAAACTTGTTTCTGCCCTCAGGGATGCAAAGGGGCCAGGGGAAGGGTGGCTGGGAGGGTGACCAAGGCAGACACCAGGCTCCCAAGGGCATGCTGTAAAGTGAGAGGAGGCAGGAGACCGGTGAGGAAGGACTCATGGCGGCTCTCTGGGGACCCTTGTCTAAGGCGGGTCCAGCCATCCCGTCACATCGGGCCCTGGAGAAGGCACCCTGAAGTTTAAATCCTGGGTGTGTCACTGTGGCTAGGAGACTTGGCTTCCTCACCCCTAAAGTGGTTGTGCTAACATGCCCACATCTTGGGCTGCCAAGAGCATCTCATGAGCTCCTGTGTGAAGTGTGGCCTCAGTGCTGGCTCTTGGCTTCTGCTGTTGTCATCACTCCCATGATCCTCTTAAAAAACATTCAAGGGGTGGGTTGGAGAGTAAATATAGACTTATGGGCAACCAGCGTGGTATAACCCAAAATGCCCTGAGCACTTTAGGGCTCAGATTCCCAAAGGGAGGTTCCATCCGGAGGTTCCTTTTATGTGTCAATTTAGCTGTGCCATGGTTTCCAGATATTTTGTTGAACACTAGTCTAGATGTTGCTAGGAAGGAGTTATTTGGACATAGTTAGCATTAAATCAGCAGTTCACCTCCATAATGTGGGTGAGCCTCTTGCAAAAGACTGAAATCCCTTGAGAAAGAAGTAGTTCTTCTGCCTCCAGATTACCTTCTGTCCTTGGTCTTGGGCTGCAACATTAACCCCAAAACAACACAATGTCCCCAGCCTGCTGCCTGCCCTACAGCCTTTGGACTTGCTAGCCCCCATAACTGCATGAGCCAATCCCTTAAAATCTCCGTCTCTCTCCATATATATATAATATGTATATGTCATGCTTATCGATATGTGTGTTATACATAATATATATATTGTATTATGCACATACACATACATATGAGAGGTGATCCCCCAAAATTGGAATTTATTTTTGAAGAGTGGGCCCCCTGTAGTACAGGCTTCTCTCGCTAGGTAAGTGTTCTAGGCACCCATTAGCATCCGTGTGCCAGCTTGTGTTATTGTGAGAGGCTGCATTTGGCGTCCGTAAATTTTCTTTTTTAGATCTTTTCAACACATATGCCCATTTCATGATGGGTGATTTACCAGCACACCTACTCACACCGCATGAATGTTTAGCAGTTTTTGACCAAACAACGGCATGACCCCTGTGCCCCACCCTCCCTATTCACCCAATATGGCCCCGAGTGTCTTTTGT